ATTCAGATCTTTATTTGTCCCCGGATTCAATTCGTATTCAGAGATCTGGCCACCAAATTGGGCTGAATCTCTTCCGAATTGAATCGGCACCTGAAGTGTCGCACAGCCCTATTATCTTCTAGCTTAAGCTAAAAACCTATTAAACGTTTTTGGTTTGTTGTTGGGGTTTTTTTGGTGTGTGTTGGGCAGTGTTCTTTTAATCAATTCTGCTGATTAAGAGCAGCATTCATAAGACTGGGAAAACCTCTGCCTTTCAACAGCACATAGAAAAGCTTCCTTCCTCCTCTCTCAATTTTTTGAGTAAAGAAATTATGAAAGAAAGAAGCCTCAGATATACAGTACCTGAAGTACCTAGGTGAAATCTTTTCTTTTGATCAGCCTTGGTGAGAAGCATTTCTCTAATAGTTTCTCATGTCACTAATGTTACTATCTACAAGTGGTTGAAAGGACCAAAACAGTGAAACTTAAATCTCTAGTGTTCATGAAATGTGCAGTATTACTCAGCAGGAGCTTAGTCTTCAGAGAGGCCAGCTGTGTTCTTACGATTCTGAAATACTAGATAGATGGTGTTACTTATGTTTCTTGAATGTGGATGGCAGTTCCTTATAGACAATGCAGTATTCTAGTAATTATTGAAGGAAAATGATCTAACCTAATGTGTATTAGTTCTGCTTGCTATAATCTAAAATACATTAATATTGCAGCAACACTATTCTGTTTAATGGTTGCATTAGTACATACACCATGCATATTATAGTGTAGCGTTGCATTTATATCACATAATTTACTATGATGTCTCCAATATTATTACTTTCAAAACCCAAAGTAAATTATGGACAAAGTGGCTTGATTTCATGGTTGGTCATAGCACAAACAGTAGATTCCATGGCTTGTCCAAGATTAATAGAAAAGTTTTATGTGGAAATTATTTATAAAGCTTAAACAACTGGTTATCAATGCAAGTTCTAGTAACAATAAAAATAAACACAGTCCTCTGGACAGTGTGATTATTAGGAGATTTGTTATAGCATTTGTATTCAGTTTTAGACAACTTACTTGTTTATAGGTATCAAGTTCTGATTATTGCAAGCAAACCAGACCATGCAAATCAGATAGAGCAGAAAAAAAATATGAGGAATCAAACTTGGACCCATATATGATGAAAATTATACCTTATTACTAAAAGGCAATGGGGATTATTAAAAGAAGATTCCATTTAGTTTTAGTATAAGTTTATTCATTGCAACAAGTGCTTTTTCAATTGTATTTAAAAATATCCCCCCATCAAGTATAACTCGCGGAGAAATATGTATAACAGGTCTCTTTGTATCTAAAGCATGGCTGCTGTAAGCCCATTTATGGAATTTGGTTCTTTGGATGAAGTTATAGGTTGCTTTTAGCTTCGGAGAGCTTCAGCTAGAGGGTGGCCCTCACAAAACTCTTCCGTGTCCCCTGTGAGCAGCAACCACTCTTGATACAAATAACATAAAAACTCAGTGCCCCAAACTGTAAGAAAGAAAAGTCTATCTTGTTTTCTAGCAATTTACAAGTCATAAAAAGAATTCCAATGAGAGGAAATACATCCATTCAATATTCTTATTACTCTTTTCGGACCTCTCGTTTATGTTTTCTGTTATATGGGGTTATATTGTTTATTTTAGGCCATAAAACTGACAATATCTGTTTAAAAATAATTAAAATGCAAAATGTAAGTTCGTATAAGATTATAATATTACATGATTTACTACCTGGCTTTTGCCAAGCACTCCATAGTCACCAACATAACTTTTGGTAAATAATTTAAGTGTTTCGGTTAGGGTACTACAAAACAGTTTTGGTGTTTAAAAATGTAACATCTGGTATTAATATTAAACTTCAAAGTTTTCCCTTTTGATTGCTAAGTTCTGTTAAAAATAAGAAATGAATAAAAACAGATTCATAGGAAACTTAGTGGGAATAAGTCTCAGTTGGTTTCATATAATGTCTATAATTTAAATTGAAGTTACTCTGTCTCCCTGAGTAAAATCCTGGCTATATTGCTGCCAGTGGCAAAATGATTCAAGATCTAGAAAACCTGGCTTAGAATGGGAAAATCAATCTATTTACTTTAACCAAGAAAAGGATATGAAATTGCTTGATTATCGTCTACAAATTATGTTATAGAGAAAGTATCTTCAATAGTAGACAGATGTAGCAAAAAAGCATGCCGATATCCAAGAAGAGTGACGTAAATTCAGACTAGAACTGGGGCAAAAATGCTTAACAATGAAAGTAATTAAGCGTTGGAATAACTTGCTGAAGGAGGTGGTAAAGTCTCCGTTACTGGAAGTCTTCAAATCCAACTGGATGTTAGCAGCCTTTTTTTTCAAGAAGCCAGACTAGATGTTCAGAATCTTCCCTCAGGCCTTAAAAATGTACAGTCTTGCTAACCCTACATGCTCAGAAATCAGGAGAGACCTCCAACACTCAAAAGATGTGCTGAAAAAGATGTGATGTGGTCCAAAAGAATCAGTTTCTGAAACTTCTAATTTCTTTCTTTAGATTAAACAACTTTTTACCCACAGCTCTCCTCCCTGCCTTAAAAAAGCTTACATGATCTTTTAGGAGTCTAAACCTAGTCTTAATATGCATAAAGCCATGTGCCCTGCTTTGACAGGACTCCACTTCCCCTCTGCTACCATAGAGTACATACCTTTCCATTGCTTTCCCTTTCCCTGTCCTCTTAACCGTTTTCCTCCTAAACTGTTTCATTCATTTCCTTCTAACTTGTTACACTTTATCATAAGCAGTAAATCCACCTCTGACATCTTAGTAGCCTACTCTACTTGACTCTCAACATGTACCTTCTCTAGGTCTCAGCTCTTCCCTATATCCTGTCCAATACTCAAAAGATACCATGCCTGCCCCATTGGCTCACTGAAAACCATGGGACACGGCAGTTACTTTTATTTGGGGCAGCATCACTTCCAAGTGAAGATATACTTGGTAAAGGTACTCATCTCACTTGTATTAACTTCATTAGCAATAATAGGAGTTGGAAGTGATTTTGAAAAAGAAGAGGTTTGCAATTTGGTAACCTTTTAGAAGAATGTTTTCATAAGGGGCAAAAACAATTTCATAATCACTTCAGCTGTGATGTAATTATGGGAGCTGCTGACAATCAGTTTATTACATTTCTTACAGACTAAAGAGGGATCCAAAACTCAACCCAAACTTTTTGACTCTCTTACGTGCATGCCTATTAGATCTGTGTCTTATAGCCAATGAATCTATTTAACCACAAAATCATTTAACCATGTGACTATCCACTGACACAATTTAACCATTATATTCATTTAACCATGCCCCACATACCTACCAGACTGTGAGCTGTGGTAAAGGGACAAAAGTAGTGATGATAAGACAGTTTTATATATAGAAATACAGCTAGGAGGAAGGTGTTGCATACTCATCTGGCATATGGATTACACCAAAATACTTTAGGTGGGCAAATGAGGAAGAAGTCACAGTGACAGCATTTTTGTGATTATGGCCCAGCCCACTAGGGAATCCTATATCCTACTTGCTCCTTGGGAGTGGCAGCTTGATGCTGGCCTATACCAGCAACAAATCACTATCCTCCTTCAAGCAGCTCTTCTCTCCTAAGTCGGTGCATTGTGGAGGTCAGCTATCCTCCCCCAACCTGCTCTGGTGAGAGCTAACTTCATGGACTTGAAGGCAGCATAATTGGGGGATATACTCATCTCTATACACCTCTATGAAAGTGCAGAACCAGAAGCAGAGGAGGGACAAATGACCCTAGGCTGTCATTTGAAGTAATTTTGTCCTTAATGTCATAAGTTAACTATAAAGGTATTCTTTTAATAATTCAGTAGACACTCTGGCTGCTGACAGACATGAAAAACAAAACAAAACTGCTTTATCAGAAGAAGCAGCATGATAGTTCAACATGGCTCTGCAGTGTCTGTATAGATCAGGCACTTCACTAGGGCCTTTGGGCACTTTTATCTAACAGCTGGTTCAATCAGCTGTTAGATAAAAGCGCCAAAAAAAGCCCCACTAAAGTGCCTGATCTATACAGATGTGGATGTGCTGGGTCCAACTAACACAATTAGTCTTCTGGGCATGTGCTGGGCTTGGTGCGGGGGCGCGCAGAGTTTAAAGTGATTTTTTTTTCTACGTCTGAAGCAGCCTATAAGAGGAAAATTATGACTCAGTAATAATTGAATATAATCTGTTGTGAATGTTATTGTGTACCTATAGAGAATGCATCTGAATATAAAATATAAATAAGGTTTCACTGGCAAATATACCAGGCTCTAGACTCCCAAGAAGAAAAAAACTGTCTTCTAAAACGAATGCTATAAAAATCCTATAAAGTATTATTTTTATAAAAAAATATTTCCAGTAATACCTCACTGAGCTGAGTCGTCTCTGACCTCAGGATTCTTTGTAAAGCATTTTAATTTTGAAGAGTTAAGTCAAAAAGTCATAGTATTTAAAGGCTAATTGATGTAGAGAGCTGTAAAGCAAACTGTTCTGTATGGCCCTTCCCCATCCTCTTTTTTCTTATTGGAGTTCTATTTATCTTACATAAATGTTTTAGAAGCATTTTTACTCCGCCTTAAGGCATTTCAATTAATGCTCAGATATGTGCCAGTAAAAGCTTTACCTTCTGGTTGTTTACTTGAAATTTTCTAGTATTCAGCAACATGCTGAGGAAGATATCAATAGGTAGCAAAGATTAACATGAAAAAGTGAACAAAATCTTTTCCTCTTGAGAGACTTCACGTTTCACACTTTGTTTTAAGAAGGCTACATTCCTTCCAGGAAATGTATTACTTACTGAGATAAGTCTCTATTGCTAAAGCTTAACAGGTTTTACTACAATGGTATTACAGAGCCTATAGCTTGACTGTGGTTGTTCCCAGACAGAAATCTACATTTTAATGACGTTATGGTTATCAGTAAAGCTAGGGACAGAAGTAATCTTAACTCACCTGGTTGTGCCAAGGCAGTGCCAGAAGTCAGATATATTCACAGTATGCGCAGGCATTGCAAGCATTTATATCACTGCTGTAGGAGCCAGAACAGATCCAGGCATCATAGAAATCCCCACTTATGATTGTTTTTGTACTCTTCCAAGCTGTTATGGTAGAATTTACAGTTTATAACATGACCCGACAAATATAAAAATCTTTATAGGAAATGTAACTGAAAGATACATTTACATTTACCTTTTTCTTTTTTAAATACCTTTTTTTTTAAACAGCACTTATGAGATTAATTCGAAAGCTTTTGGATTTTTTTTTTCTACTCCTCAAAGATAGGAAACCTCCCAGGTCCTGTAGGTTTCTGTTGATTTTTTTTTTTGATCCACTTCTTAAAAGGTCACTTTAAAAACAGATTGTTGGCAGGCACTCATGCCTTTGGTGTGTTATAGAAAAATGGTTTTAACTGCAAGCTATGTCTAGAGTGACTTCGAGCTGAATTAAGTTTTGTAGCACTTACCCTGGCAGGCAAAAAACCAGCATTATTTCAGGTCACCTATGGAAACTACTCTAAGTGCAGCAAAGATCCCAATACAAGTCTTGGTTGCAGGAATGTGAAAAGTGCACACAGCATGAAAGTGGCCTTTGGAGGTTTGTGTTACTGATTGGCCATTGCTGTGCAGATGCCACAGTAACGTGCAGGTGTTTGCAGCAGACTTTAAATAGACCGTGAGATGCATACATTCTAGGTAATCTGGGAGGGGGCTGATTTGAGCTGCCAGACTGCTCACTTCAACTACGGTTACTGAGGAAGAGTGTAGACTTTGCCTTTGTATACATATAGTCTAAATACAGGCAGTCAAAAAGCACAAGGCTGAATCAATTCAATTTTTGCGTGTTAGTCCAAGCTGTGTAGATTGAACCAGTAAGCAGGTGAACAGACATTCATATTTGTTTCTGGAAATGTAGCCACATGCCTGCAGTGGCCCAAGCCAGATGCTAGGGGGTGCTAAAGCACACCTCCCTACTGGGCTGGAGCAGACAGCTTGGGCCAAGGTTAGCTGCCCACCCTGCAAGGGGGGGGGCGGGGTTGCAGGGGAGGTGCAAAGCATCCTGGGATGCTGGGGGAGTGTGAGTTAACTTGAATCTGGAGGGGATCTGGAAAAGAAGTTCAATAAACTAATTTAACTTAAACCAGTTAAGTCTGATACTACATCAAGGTTATTTTAAACTAGTTCTGGCCATTTTGAAATCAGTTCATGTGCACTGAACTTCTGTTGGGCTACAGATTTAAACCAGTTTCCAATCACTTATACTAATTTATGCATAATTTCTGTCCCTAGCCATAGTGACAGTTCTATCTAATGACTTTGTTACAGCCAGAATAATCCCATATAAATGCATACACATGGTGTAAATATATATAATGTATTATATATACATGATCAGGACTCGGGTCTGTAAGATTTGAGAATTTTTCTTGATATCTTCCAAAAGTAAGTTATATAAATCTAATGACTGTTTTAGGATATCTTGACTGGGACTCCATAATATGATAGAATAGTGGTGCGGGTGGTCTGGAACAAGAAATGGCCAGGAAAGGATTTAAAAAATAAAATAAATATATCAGAAAGCTGCAAGTATATGAATGAGAAGAAAGACTGTTCAGTTCAGAAAAAATAAAATAGAAGTTAGAGACCCCTTTGCCCACAACAAGATATACTCAGTATGCACAAGACTATTCAGTAACTCTCACTGATGTAGCTCTTGCTGGAGCTACTTCCTGACACTTTTGCTGTAATGACTATTTTCAGTGGCACCGATCAGTCTTAATCATATAATCTTGGAGTTTGTGTCATTAAAAGTTTAAAAGACTGACAAAAACCTTCAGAAAGATTTGCTTTAGTGAGCTAATTTAACACCACTCTATTGAAGTGGCTCCAAAATTGAGACTTTTTCTATTCCTACCTGCATGTTCTCTTTATTAGGGATTAGGTAGGCTAATATAAAATATGAAGCATTTTATAATGTGCACTAGGGCTGTGTGAAGCTTTGGGTGGTGATTCGATTCAGAGGAGATTCGGCCCAATTCGGTGGCTGAATCTCCGAATGTGAATCGAATCAGGGGATCAATTTAAAGGTCTGAATCAATTCAAAGCTCTCCGAAACTTCGGCAAAGATTTGGAGAGCTTTGATGATTTGGGCAGTCCCAGTGGCTGCAGCAGGGAACTGCAGCCACTCCGAG